AGGTCGTTTCCAATGAGTAAAAACTCAGCTTCATTGTGTGGTTGGCTATTGGTATTTTGACAACATGTAATTCATTAGTTAAATATTCGATTACATTGGCGCGTATTTGGATAATCTCATCTTCATCGATTCGTACATTAAGTTGAGTTTGAGTGATTATGCATGGCTTAGGATTCTTAATGTCGAAAGGAGCTAGTTTTAATACTTGTTCATCAGTTTCTATTAAGTGTAATCGTTGAACTAGTTCCTTTGATATGAACGATAACTGTGACCCAATATCAAATAATGCCAAGGCTTCTTCCTTTCGTTCTGGCAATAATGGGTTAAATACAGTTATTTTCTTGCATAATAGCAGAGTTTCTTTATTTTTTTTCGTTATTGCATTCGTTTGAGCAACCATTGCCATAACTAGTCGAACAATTTCCCGGTTTGCTGATTTCTTCATTTGTTTGGCTCATATTAAGACTTGAAGTTTTGATCTGATGTAGTTGATTTCTTTTTTCACAAAGCGCACTGTTATGAGCAGCTTTGCAGTAAAAACATTTTACCTTTCTTCTACATTCTTCGCCTTGATGTGTCTTTAGACAGATAATACGTTTCTTTATTTCCTTGAGACGTTTCATTCGAGATTTCACAGTTGGATATACTCGACATTCATTGTCCCAGTGATCTTGATTACAAAATGTACATGATCTTTTAGTTTTGTTTTCTCCCTTTTTCTTTATTGAGTAAGGAATTTTCTTCTCATTATGAATTGTTGCTAGTACTGAAGCTTCATTATATCCTTTTGGAGTTTGTTTGTATTTGGACAAAATGGGTTTTCTTTCCATTTGAGTAGATGTAAATTGGTTCCTTACCAATTCGTTGACTTGTATTAAGTTCCCGAGAAATCTTCTTAGTTTTAATATTGACCATGGAGAATCGTTAGTTTTCTGATGGTATACTTTGTCAAGTATCCATAACTACACTTTCTATACTGGAGTGTTCCAAATTTTTACCCGTTACTTCTAATTGTCAGAAGATTCTTTCCATTTTTTCCAACGGTTTCAATCCATTCCTTTTCGTTTCGTTTTATGGATTGTAGTTCATTGTATAATAATTTGGTTGTCATCGATGAGTCTTCATATTCTTCGGTCAACAATTTTTGCACAACTTCATAGTTTTCAGGGGCAATATCAAAACCCCTTACGGCTTGTAGTGCTGATCCTTTTAAACAGGAGTTTTTGGATTTCCGGAATAGTTTGTGAGTGGACAGCAGCTTTAAAGCTACTCCAAAATTCTCTCCACTGTCGTGGGTCACCATTGAAAACAGGTAAAGATAATTGAGGAAGATTGACATTAGTATAAGTAGGTGGGGTTGGCTTCGTTATCTCTGTTGGTGATGCGTGCTGCTGGTTTGGATTTGGTGTTAATTTCTGGATTTCGGAGTCAATTTCCTTTTGATAAATAGTTAAACTAATGACGACTTCTTTTGCTTCATATATTAAATTAAAAATTCCTTGTTCTCCCACCGTTACTTCTTGATATTTCTCTTCCTCCTCCTTTTTTCTTGATGTGGTAAGGACCTTTGAAGATAATCGATCCATCTGTCATTTGCTTCTTGAAGTGATTGAATGCACATGTGTAGTCTCATAATTTTTTCTTCAAAAAGTCGCTTTCTAGCTTCATGTATTTGAAGTCGCTCTGCGCATAGCAAACTTTGTTCTGGCAATCCGACATCTAGTGCCCTTACTTCTTGGAGGATGTTTATTAGTCGATTCCTTACAGATTTTATACTCTCTAGTATAACAGAAGTCATATCAATAGGGATTTCCAATTATAATTATTTGTTATGGTTAATTTCGCAATACCTCACCTCGGGCACCAAATAATTTTGTCGTGACAAAATAAAGGAAAGGGAATTAGGAAAGTGAGGTAAATTGTTATTGTTCGTTGTGGAAGCTGTTATATTTTTAAAGGAATGACTTACAGTGTATCGGTTTGTTTTGTGTTCGAAACTTACAACAGATTATCTTTTATTATCGTCTGGATACTAAATAAAGTAGAAATGAGTCCAAAGTAATTCCGATTACGATATAATGACTTTCAGATTAAAACCAGTAGAACAGTGAGAAATTTGTTAGTAATTAATGGACTGGGGGAAATTAGATGAAGAGCGTGTTGTGTGAAGCTGAGTGACAACTGGTGGATTTTTAACAATGAATGAATGTTAGGATTTCTTATGTTTATATAAGGAGTGTGTAAGGAGAAACAATCATAACAAATTAACGTATACTCACAACTACCAGAGAAATCTCCATATCCATATTAACTTATATTAAGTGGCTTCAATCACAATATACTTTGTTTGGAGAAAGGAAAGAAATACAATAATTAACAGAAATCTAGAGATAAACATGTTGGATATAAACACGTTTATAGGATTAGATATCTCTACAGTATGCCCATCAGTGTTCATAAAATTAGTTGTCATCTAGATGTGCGCAAGCCTCAATATCAAATAAAGCTAGACGATTAAAGATTTGATAGCTGACTCATGACTTTGAGCATGAGAGAGGAAAAATAAATGTAAGCATAAACTATTTGAATGAATAATTTTATGATATAATTGTTTCGGTTTTCCCGACAGCATTCCTGACTACATATAGTAAGTTAAATTAGGAAAGTTTACTTCAAGTTATTAGATCATTTATGTTAATTTTACTTCCTGTACACTTCAATTTTTTTCATTTTCTTAGAGCACGTCCTTTTCACATGCTTTCTTCTACTTTTTTATTAATCCAAGTTTTTAGATAACTTTCAAAATTATTTCCAACTATCGCTTGCATCTTAATCGACCTAATTTATTAAAGTTATTTTGCTCGTTCTACTCATTGCATGCAACTTTGATCTGTTTTACTTGATATGTTGATAAGTAAGACAAGTACAAAAATGAAGTATGGTGAAACTAGTTCATGTGAATCAATTGAATTTTCGAGGTTATTAGTTCACTGATAACTAATAATCTTATTAGTGGAATTAAGTTTTCTAGTTCGGCTTATATTTTAAATTCAACTCATTTCCGTTGCATTTTATATTTTAGACCTCTTAATTCTGTTTTGTAACTTCAATAGTATCACAATTCATTCACAAATATCCTGTAATATGGCTTTTCTTTCAAAAATTTTCTGCAAATTATCAGAAAGAGCATATAGCGAAAGTGAGAATAAGAAAAGTAAAGTTAAAAATAAATTGAAATTGTATGAGAAAGATAATCATTCGTAGCACCATATAAATTATTGTAAAACTATACGATAATCACCAAAACGTAATAAAGAACCCTGACGATGAAAGAAAGAGCTATACATGGCTTGGCTTCGCGAATGAAAATTTGAGAAAAGCTTTACCTATGGCTACTGCAAGCGCGCTGAAAAGGGCAATGTGGAAAGTATCCTATGGCGAAACTGGCAAGGCACAGTTTTTTCTGCGTTATCTTTTCTTCTTGAGAATAATTCTACATACATTCTCAAAGGAGGCAACAACGTTATGGATGATGTGTCTCCATGTCTCCATGTCTCCCGTTTGAAGGCCAAGATAGAGATCACTGATGATAGTCAGTATGATCAAAGCTGAGGTATTGTTTCACAAAGTTGTTATTTCTCCTCTTTGGGGCTTTTCTGTTGTGGCAGTTGCAGCGGTGGTGGGTTCATCATAGAGACACACTCTTAGGGGTGTC